AAATGAGAAATAGTAACAGGATAGATAACAGAATTAACATGTTTAATATGAACAAATTCAATAAATTGGTCTATATCATATACAAATGTGAAATGAAATAAAACATTTACATATTCAGATAGAATCACCATGATAAGACAAACTGATGTCTAAGGTATAATGTTTATTTAATGGTTTCAGCTTGTGTGATTAGTCTGTTATATAATTCTAATTTAGTAAGCTAATTAGTGATAAGTTTCACAGATGAATTGACATACACAAAAAAAGCTTCGTTACCATACAATCTGTAATAAAGTGAAATCACTAACATCTGCTGATTAATGAAAACAGTATTTGATTGATAATTAGTCAGAAGACATAAACTATTTTTAATGCATGAATAGCGCCTACGATACTAAAATGATACATACACTATCATGTATAACAAATCAGTTCTGTTTGTGTCATCGTGTGTATAATATTATGTAATTAGTTCATACAACTTTTGTAACATATTCAAAAATATACACAAAGATATTCTGTTAGAGAAATAAGTACTTGATAATATCATATCAATTAATGTGGTGTATTCACTCATTGACTGAGAATAAATATTTGACATACCTAATCCCAGAATATGTTCTCCATTTGAGGTTGTGGAGATTGTTGAGCTACAAATGAGATTACGAAAATCTCGAAGCACTGGACAGCCATTTCTTTTGAATCCCGCGTGTGAGGTTCATGGGTGCACACTGCTGAGGAGTCCTATGCTATGACAAAAAAGCTATCCAGTGCTTTCAGATTTTTAATGATGGTCTAGCACTGATCGCTTCATGATTGCAATTGAAACACCAGAATATAATTACAATAGAAAAATAAATGTATCACTTATATAAAATAATTATCCCTTACCCGTATTGTATCCTATAATCAACATTTGTGCAATACTTAGAATCCCTCCAGTGAAATCTAATATAATATTACCTATACTCCAACCAACTGTACTCCTGCGACGAAAATTCATTAAAGCCTAAATTTATGTTTATAAATGTTAAAAAAAAAGAAAGAAGCATAAAATAGATTTATATTAGATTTCTTCGCAATCGACAATAAATAAGCTTTGATTTCACAGAATGTTTGAAATAAACGCTGATAATAAACCCAAATACTTATATATTTTTAAAATACGAATTTCAGCGAAGGGATCTCTTTTCAACGAATTTATTACCAAGCTGTACAATCGTATATCTATATGGAATTTTTTTTGTTTTTGGAAAAGTACTAATTCCGTGAGGAAATGTGAACACAGTTAATACAAAGGTTATAATACTAGATTACGTAATATGAGTAATAACAATAACAATGGATTTGGTGAATATAAGATGATTAAAATGTTTTTGTCATAATAATTAAAGGTCACAGAGGTGTAAAAAATAATTAAGGTGACATAATGAGCATTTACGAATAAAACAATGAGAATATAAGACATAAGTAAAGGGGGGAATGCAGTAATAATAATAATAATAATAATAATAATAATAATAATAATAATAATAATAATAATAATAATAATAATAATAGGATAATCAAAATAATTCAGGCCAAGGTAACAATAACGATAAGACGTACTTCTTTTGTACGCATTGTTCTGGTTTAAGCTCCTGGATGGTAAGAGCTTCGGCTATTTTTAAGAGTTGGATACGAAGAAATCTGGGTAGATTTGAACGAATCATATAAACAACCTTAAAGTCAATTTGCGTATCTGTAGAATGGTTATAGTCGATTAGGTGTTCAAGTATAGAACTCCTAACTGCTTTCCTTTCACCCTTATAGAACCAAGCTGGGATATGTTCCCGTATCCGAGTTATATATTTTTATAATGAATTATTTATATTAGGCAAGTAAACAAACTTTGTCTTTCTTTCTTAATAAACCAAATCAAAATAATAGATTCCTGGAAATAAATCACAGAAAATAATATCTACATGATTATCCACTTGAGACAGTTTTTGATAATAAACTCTGTAAAGTAGAAAAAGTGCTCATCTATCAAGGATAATATTAGTGTGGCGAATCGTGGTGGAGATTGCAGTATTTCTAAAGCTGAAATCCTTCATACTAATAACAATCACATTCTCACAAGTGACTAACTTCAAAATGTAACTGCTGAAGTTCTAATGAAGAGCTGTGACCAGTGGAGGGTAATCTGTGTAGGGTGTGAGACTGTTATCCACCGCAGGTGATGGATGAAGGCTTATGCATGATCATAAATTGATTGAAGTCAAACACTTAAATCGCTTAATACTGACTCAGCAGTTTAGAGGTTAAGCGTTTACTCACGACACTAAGGGTTCTGAGTTCGATTTCCACCTGCGGGACCGTAGCTGAGCATAGTCATTTAGTGGTCTAACTAAGATGAGCTTGTGAGTTCAACTGTAAAAAGTATAATATTATTGCCAATGACTGGACAAAATGATTATAATGACTTGAATAATATTACTGTACTTAACTATAAGAATTCATCAAGAAAGGATTGAAAAAACATCAATGTAATATAACTCATTTACCAGCTTTATGTTTTTGGTATATAACTTTCAGACACATGATTACTGTGAAACCATGTGATACTTTATAATAAGTGCTCAAGATCAAATATGTCAAAAGATGTTCAAATTTACAACTAACAGATTAAATGACTAAAATTGAAACAATCAATTCGTAGCTCATACATCAGGCAAACATATATACATTGATCTTTCAATATCAATTAATTAAACGAATGGATAATAATTATATATTGCCATACTGAAGTTATTTGTGGCAAAATGTTTACAGCAGAATATTTCCTCCTGGAGTCTCTCCGGGGGCTACTGCTGGTCCAAAGCCCAGATAAAAGAGGGGGTTTGGGTATGGGGTTAGCGACCCCATCCCGTAGAAAACTAACTCGCTAAACAAACGCTAACCAGAAAACATTATCAGCAACAACCTACTGTGGGAAAAGACAAACCAGATCATAGCGAAGGAAGAAATCAGGAAGAAGCACTGGAAGTGGATAAGACACACATTGAGGAAAGCACACAACTGCGTCACAAGACAAGCCCTCACATGGAATCCTCAAGGCCAAAGGAGGAGAGGAGGACCAAAGAACACATTACGCCAGGAAATGGGAATAGACATGAGAAAAATGAACAAGAATTGGATGGAACTAGAAAAGAAGGCGGAGGACAGAGTGGGTTGGAGAATGCTGTTCGGCTGATTATGCTCCATTAGGAGTAACAGGCGTAAGTAAGTAAGTAAGTATTGTCTATCTTAATATTTACATATTTATTGAAGTTGACTATATATCACTTCTTTTACATGTAACAGTTTTTTAATCAATAACGTATTTCAATCACTCTATAAGTTAATGTATTTCATTAAGTGATCATCAACTTCCTACTGTTATACACCTTTCAATATGTTTTATTCATAATATTCTATCATATTAAATAGAATTGACATTTCGAAGATTTTAATTATGATTTATAAATATTTGTTACCATGATATATTCAATCTACTAGCGTTTTTTACTAGCTAATAACCAATGTATATGCGTTTTGTATTCAATACTTTGATTGATCATCCATGGTGCTAACTTTTATTCAGCAGATTGTTATTCCGACGTAGTTGAAAAATGGGTTATATATATTATATATATGAGTGTATAGCGTTTTATTAAAATATCTATCAAGCTATAAGACCACATTTTAGCACGATCTGTACTTTGTAATATTTATAAATTGGTTCAGAATCAGATGTGTTTTAACAACACTTTGCTCTTAACCTTTTAAATACAAAGTGTTTAATGATTCATCTAAAAAATATGAATAACTTAAATAAAAATAAATTTCATTTGTTAGATTGAGGTAGGCTTTATACTAGAATTATCTATTGAGAGCATAATTTGTTTGCAAAGTAAGTGGATCGAGTTTTTTTACTGGGATCATGAATTGATGAATGTTAGACCATCATTGAAAACCTGGAAGCATTGGATGGCCGTTTCGTCCTAGTATGGGACTCCTTAGTAGTGGGCATTCACGATCCCGCACATGGGATTCAAACCCAGGACTTTCGGTTTTGTGTGAGGGATCGTGAATGCGTAATACTAGATTGAAACGGCTATGCAATTCTTTCAGGTTTTCAATCTCAATCAAAGACTCATCAATCTTCACAATCCCATATTGATAAGTGAATTGATTTTTACTCTCCTTCTTAACATTCATTCTAAATTCCATCAAATTCATGAGTATTATATAATCCTAAATTGTTGGATGAAACGTTGGATTTACTTCAAAATTCATTCGCTGAGATTTTACAATTACATTCTCCCTCTTTTTGATGTCTGACATCAACTCGGCACCTAAATACTGTGAAACTATTTCATCAAATTTAGACGAAAGTTCTTATTCATTATTATTTATAGTTCATGTTCAGATGAAAGATATTTTGTATTATTACATTCGTCATTGGAGTCATTCTTTTGAATACAAACAATATGATAATAGAAATTGTCTTTATCGATCGATAAGCTATTGCATAACTGTATTTCTTTCACATTCACAGATCGCAAAACAAATGTTTCATGATAAATATACCTCATAATAATAATAATAATAATCATTATTATTATTATCCTAAAAACTTAAACAAAACACTATCTCAATAAATTGTTCTACAATTCCTAGATAGACTACTACTACTACTACATTAATGTAAGCGTCATGTGATGAGTACATAAATATACGGTAATTATACTATACAAATTATCAGTCAAAATATTATGGTTAAATGTCGACTGATTACATGACATATTCGTTGACTAATAATGTAACTGTTAAAATGATTCAATCAATGAACAACACTATGATAGATAATATATCATCTAAAATATGATCAATTACATTAGATTTGTTTACAGTTTGTTGTGTTGTTTTGTTTCTTTGTTGTTGTTTTTTTGTTTGTTGTTTTTTTGTTTTGTTTTAACTTTGGTGATCAGCCAAACAGTACTTGTACTTTGATAATGAAATATAGAAAACAAAATTTTCGGAATCATATCAATTAAATAGTTTATGTTAACAGAATGGTCCCTTATATAGTAATTGTAGGTAATAAGCTATCAAAAACACTGTACATAATCTAACTTGTTAAAGTAGACAATCTATGAGTAGTGTTAAAGTGACCTTTAAAAAATATTCACCTACTAACTAGTGGCAAAAGAATATTGTAAATTAATGTGATAGATCAAGATTTAGGGTTTAGAGTGGAATATCAAAATTAGGAATGAGAATTGGTATTAACTACAATGGCAAAATAGTATTTAAGTATATGAAAGTGTGAATTTTGTATCAAACACCAAGACATTTTGTCGTAAATCTCATTGATTTGTTTCTAAGTTAAAACCTCGCCACTATTGATTGGATACATTGCAAGGTCTTGAAGTTTAAATTTATATGTTACAGTATACTTTACAAGTAAAAAAATCAAACTTGAACTAATTTTTACAAGTCTCTGTACAAAACAACTAAAGATTGATAATGTATTATAGGTGAAAAGCCTTACAAATTTTGTTAAGGTAAGCAATTCTCAGTACTTATTGTGCAATATATCAATAAATCTCTGTAATAACATATTTCCAAATTTTATTTATTTAAAAAAATACATTTTCACAATGTGTTTCATAGTTAGTATCTTGTGGTGGCCGGTATTCGATATATCCCTTAAACTTCGTATACAATTCGTCTTGATAACCATCCTATTTAACCCCAACGGTATATTATTCAGAAGGCGAATACGAAGCGTTGATTACGTTTATTTCGAGACCACACACACAGATGTCCAAAATTACAGATGCATTAAACGAGCATTAAGAGTTGTGTCGAACGGCAAACAGGCAAGCGAGCGACTGAGCGAATGTAAGTAATCGAGTACAATCAAGCGAGCGAGAAAGCAGAGTCAACCATATGAATAACGTGGACATATATATAGCATGTGAAATTAATGAGTAATCGAATCAAATAAGCGGTTAGTAGTGAGACTAGCAGAGTGAATAAATGCGTAGGCCGTAAGCAATATTCAAGCATGCGTATTTCATACAAGCACAAAATAATAATAAGGGTACAATAAATTGTTATAGTGCGGATGGCTTTGTCCGCTAAATAAGTTAGCAAAAGGGCTTAACTGAGTTAAATGAGAATAAACCCATTTGCACGTGAGTCGCTATAATCTGACACTTAACTTCAGCCAAGAAAGTTTAGGAACCGTTTAGTCAGTCAGTCAGTCAGTCAGTCAGTAACAAAGTAGAACTTCGTACGTACGTACATCACTTTGAGTTGCCACACCACATTAGCACAGAAATGCAGTTGTTGATTCAAATCCCATAGTGGTAGAGGTAGTAAAAGTATAAGCATTAATCGGAAGGATTAGGGTTTGAAGATGTTATTCAAGGAGCATAATCCAGTGAAATAAATATGGAAAGAGAAAAAAAGGGACATGAATAATCCAGAAGATTAGAATTCGGGAGAACACAAAGAGTGTATGCACCTGCGCCATTGCAAACGATTTTGAGTCATTTCATTCAAGGTCTCTAGTCATCGGTTACTATCGTCTCGCGGATCCCAACCAGGTAGTCTACAGTTTAACTGCTACAAGTCATTTTTTTCTGAAGCCATCATATATGAGATACATGAATTCCAATGTGTTCGTCTCTCTTAATTATTGCAAGTGATAGACAAAAAGAGGAAACATGCTAACAACTGTTCTGTTCCTTTTTTTTATTTTATACTGCCTTTGGAAAAACAGGAGTTAAAAATTCCTAAAGTTGAAGAACATTTGCAGCTCAAAACATTTCTTAGACAACACCAAAGTTGGAATTTTTATTACGAAACTAAAGACGGTTTTGTCATACGCAAATGAAACTTTGAAAATTACTACAAATATCATCAAAAAGGTATAATTATTTGTAAACAGTTTTCTACGCAAAATATTTAATACCCATTGGCCAGATACCATCTGTAACAACCTACGGTGGCAGATGACAAATCATATTCCAGTTGAAGAGGAAATCAAAGAGAGTCGCAGAATGTGGAATGGATACACATTCGAGAGATCATCAAAAGAATGACTAGCACTTGGCATCGACTTAAAAGCAGGGTTCTGGGTAGAACTGGTTAGGGAATCTTAATCGGTAGCCTATGTTTCACGAGGAGTAATAGGTGTCAGTAAGTAGGAAAGTAACTCACAGTTGGTGCTTAGAATTATCAATTCCATACAAACTGAAGAAAGGAAGATTACTTTTACGATTGAACAATAGGATTATATTTAAATAACAAAATAAGACATCATATTTATGACTAAAAAACTGAATGACTACTGTTAGAAATAACTTTAAATCAACTGGGAAAACTTTCATCAATAAAATTACAAAATAAATATTCCATTTATTTAATTACATCACATGTTTACTTACCTGAGGTGCATATTTAATGAATGAGATAAACAGTTTAACATAAGATAATAAGTAGAACGTATCTAACCATTCCACGTAATGAACTCCGCCTAATATACAAACAATTATCGTATAGATAATGATTAATATTATTATTCCTATACATGTTTTTGATACACGTTGACCACCACGCTAACAAAATATAAAAATAATTTCTTTGTTTTAGAAAAATAAAACAAAAATAAACTAATTATAATAATGACAACATTTGAATGACAATAGTTTTCTGAATAATAGATTACAATATATAATATGAAAATAAATTATTAACATAAAGTTGGCCCAGTGGTCTAGTCGTTAAGCGCTCGCGCGTGAGACTGATAGGTCGTGGGTTCGAATCTCGTTAGAGCCCCCAAATGCCCTGGTACGGCCGAGAGTGATGAGAGTTTGCTTTCCCTCTCGAAATGCTCTCACATGGCCACGCGTATATAGACCCTGCCAAGGAAGTCCTACTCACTGCCTTCTCACACCAAAGGTGTTGTTTACGAAATTGAGAGGAATAAAAGCAAACGTCCGGCGCTTTAACCGGGTTGATGGACATGGAGAGTCCACCTAGGGGAGTTGGAAAACCCTGATTCCAAACCAATGATGCACATGGGCTCCAGAACCCTGAATGGACAAATGGCATATGAACCAATCGTTGGTCACCGGCTACCATGGGACTGCATCTCCTTATGATGCTCCACTGCTTTGTGGATCAGACCCTTGGGTTGAAGGCTCCAGGTGTGGCCCCTTAAGAAAACCGCCTGCTTCGGTTTAGACACCCGAGCAGCATCACAGCCCTCACACATATCAAATGAGATTTGTGTGGCGCATATGTATTTGGTGCCTCCTTGTACCAATATCTATGTGTTAAAATAAAATAAATAAATAAAACTGATCGTTATGGAAACATATTATCAATGATAATACATTTATATTTAACTATTTCTCATCAGGTATAACTACAAACTTTAAACAATAGTTTTATAAAGTTTAAATATGAAGAGTAGTGTACCAAATGTAAACTGTTGCTATTTGGTTTAATCTGATATCAAAGAGACATTTGCATTTCAAGAAAATTAACAATTGTAGTGTAAATATTTGCTAGTTTTAAGTTTATTTTCATTCTTAGATAGTCTAGATACTTTAAAAGGTTCCAAAATACAAAGAAGGATGCATAGCAGTTTGTAACTTTAAGGTATTATTCAAAATAAAGTCAAATTATAAATGTAGTTAAATATTGAATTATCTGTACAAGAAGCCCATATCTCAATATAGATTGATTTAATTCCGTTTCAAATAATAATAACTGGTTATTTAATACAAACTCTCCTAACTATTATATTATTATTTGAATAAGAAGACGTGTCCCGGATAGCCTAGTGGTAACGTCTCTGACTGTGAAGATGGGTGACACTGGATCGAGTCAGTCAGGGAGCACCAGTTCCCTCAAGATTACAGGTGCACCTTGCTGACGAGTGCCAAGTAGCACGAAACCCCGGTCCAAGGGTTTCTTGTTGACTACCTCCAACAACCATCTTAACATGTAGATTTATTAATAAATTTTTTAAACTTATTTGTTCTACTGAGTTCTATATCATTTACGGTACTTTACTAAGAACAATCGATCAAATTAACATCACAATTATATCATTTTAACCGTATACTAAAGAGTAAGAAAACATAAATGTCATGTATACATTTTCATGATGAATTATTAAAAATCAGTAAAATTCGATCAAAACGAAAACTTTATTCTTTGTAAAGAAGAATTTAGATTAACGAACTAGAAATCGGAGCTTGAATGATCTCATGATTAGTTTTTTTTTGTTGTTGTTCTTTTGCTTTATATCAACATGTTGATGGCAACGTTGAAAATAAGGAGAAAAAAAGATAGATTATTTGTCAAAATCAGACACCTTTGAACTCTTCTATTTGAAAATTCACAAACAGAAGATCATCTACAGATACTTTAGACTTTATTATTTTAAGCTTATTTGACGTAAATAGATTTATTGAACTTTATAATCAGAGATGAATAGTGGTTATCAATGAAATTCAGGACATATGTTCTGTTCCATTTTGAATTTGTTGGTTTGATTTCCCTGTATCTTAGAGTTAATGTTTGCTCTAAGACTTGAACCCAATACCATTCACTTCAAACGTTATCATGTTATTCACTTGTGATTTATTAAACTTTGACTATAAAACTAAAATGAATAATCACTTTGATAGTAATAATCTCTTCCCCCCCTCCTATCATCAGATTATGATTTCAAAGTTATGTAATCGAATGTTTTCTCTCTATATATTTTTTTTCATATTTCATGTAACAATCAATTTGAGAAGAATGTTTATCTCGATGATACACCACAGTGATAATAACAATAATAAAAGAGATCTTGTACATGACATTTCAAATAAACAATAAGAAACATTCAAGTTATTCATATACATAACAAAGTACCGATCATTTTCAAATAGATATTTACAAAAATATTATTACAGTTAAAATTATGTATTCAATATATGACATCTAATAGTCATATTATTCAGAATATAAATGAACTTGATCTTACATAAATGTTATGTAATAGACAAATAATAATGATGCCAATTTGTATGGCATACCAAATCATATTTAAAGAAGATGAAGAAGAAGTATTTTGACTTATTTTAAAATTTAATATAGTTGAATTTATGAAATGATTTAAGCTAAACGAATCATAGGAAACCTAGAAGGACTGGATGATCATTTTATCCTTAGATCGATTCATAAATTCAACTATTAAAATTACTACAATCTTCACAAATCTCCCATTCGGATAATAATTATCATGTACTTATTAGTAAGTAAATTCGAGATGTAACTTCTGGAATTCTAATGAGAAGCCGTGACAAGTAGAGTTCAACTCGTGTCGAGTGAAGATAGTTATCCACTTCAGACAATGGATGAAGAGTTGCACAACATTTCATGGATCAATTAAAATTAGACATTAACACTGTCAGGCGCCGGTTCAATGGTCTTGAGGTTAGACGTTTATGTGAGAGAAAGGAGATCCTGGGTTTAAGTCCCACGTGTGAGATTGTGGATGTACACTACTGATGGGACGAAATGGCCGTCCAATGCTTCTGGGTTTTCAGTGGTGGTTTAAGTCAGATCGACTCATGAACTCAACTATTAAAATTACTACAATGTCCACAAACCCGCATTATGAAATTTTGAAATTGTCAAATATATTATAAGTATACATTTTACTAAGTTAGCAGTTGATCAACATGTTAAAGTTGAATTGTTGACTGATGGAAATAGTTTCATTTACTGTTAAAACTACACAGCAGTATTATCCCGAAGTAGGATTTCATCCTTATTTGGAACTCCTTAAACGGATGTCTTTGAATGCCAGTATCTATACAGAAACTTAAACCCACTAACTTTCTCTTTAAAAGATAACAATATCTGTTGAGATACTTAGACTAAATAGCCACTAGCTTATTCAGTGGTTATGAGTTCTATGTAGTGTATAAAATAGAAGGTACTAGGTTCGAGTCTCATTAGAAACATAAATACTAGAATGTAGATATATTCAGCTGACGAGTTCTAAACTGAGAGAAGGGCATATTTTTGACTTTTCTGCAGACCAGTATCCGATGATAATAAAAACTCGTAACAAAATGTCAATATCGAGTCGTTTTGTCCAAGATCCATATATACCAATAGAGGTTGATCAGTTACAATCCTTAATATCAATAATGGCAAAATATATACCCTTCGAAATTCAACACATTTATACTTCATCTATTTTTGGCTGAAAACTTTACAAGTATTAAGGTGTGTTAATATTGTGTTCAAAACTGCTACCGAGTTAAAAATAAGTTATAGTTCGACTTCGTCAGAATTCTCTTGGGGGACAAATGAAATGAAAACTCATATTTATTAATGACTATTATGAAAATTTGACTGACGAAAATTGAATGTAATAATAAGATCAGACTTATTAAAACTACTCTGATCTTAACCTAATTCATCGGCAAATCTATGAAACAAGAATGTATTTCAATTAGTTCAAAAAGTCTCCATATTAAAAAAAATACTGACTGAACTTACCTCGTAACATAATATTTGTAAAGCTGTTAATAAAGAAATTAGAAATGCATGAAATGCAAATGCCAAATCATTCTCTAGTACTGGTACTGATCCCAAAGGATTTCTTTGCAAATATTGATCCTGTATGAAAAAGTTTATGATTATAAAATCATAATAATTCAGATCAGTTACAATAAAATTGTATTAAAAGCAGAAATAGGTAATGACTTGCAGTGGAATCCGTGACGCGTGTTTCACCCCGATTTGAACTTGTCAGCTGGATGAATTAAATTCATTCTAGAAGAAGTGACCTAGATGAAAAACTCTCTTCTTCTTTGACAGTATCATCTTTTGAAGCTGTACAATCGCATTTATGAGTACATCTCTTCTAGAAATTATAAAACCTTATTATTCTTCAAACCATCATATTCAATCAATTGAGATCGCTTGATAATTTTTACTTACGTTAACTAAATACGCAACAATTTCTTATTTTATAGGCAAAGATAGATGACGGCTAGCAGTGAAATTCAGGGCACGCGTCTCATCCTATTTGGGAGTCATCAGCTGGATGTTAATGTTGACTTCGGGACTCGAACCCGATATCGTTCGCTCTAAACGCTATCTCGTTATCTACTTAGCTACTGAGTCCAAATAGCCACTACCTCATACAATGAGGCAACGTTTTAATTCATTTTTGTATTGTTTGTTTAAATCTTCCCATTAATGTTAAGGATTGTAATTGATCAGTCTTTTATTGACAGATTGTGCAAAGATTAAAACAAACAATACAAAAATGAAATAATTCTTTATTTTATTACAGACTATTCATACCTGATATATGTGGTATTTTTATTGTTAGTTATGAATGGTTCTTTTTTTTCATTGTTAACATTCATGACAGAATTAAACCAGATTCTATTGTCCAGCCAATAGTTCAAAATGTAATCAACTTTAAGTTAGAAGTAATATCAAAGCATAAAAAATCTATATACAAACTAAGAACTGATCAACTATTACGTTCTGATTATTGATAGTAAGAAAATATCAGTACTGGCGTATAACTATAAACCATCTACAACATGTCAAAACGTAATAATCTTTTTTTCTACTACTGATCTATTACTACTGATTTATTTAATATTATATTCATAAATAAATGGTTATTTATAGCTACTCTACGAACCGCCAACTGACGTCACCTATGGTGAAGGCGAGTTATCCGTCTATCAATTAAAGGACGAGTATACTGCGCAGCAGTTTGTTCTGTTCTACTTTACGGCTGCAAAACATGGCTATTACGAGAAGAAGATACTCGTAAGCTACTAGTATTTGACCACAGATGCCTTAGAAATATTGCTCGCATCTGCTAGGATCATCAGGTAAGCAATAATGAGGTTAAACACAGGGTATTAGGGAATGATGGTAAATCAGTTGATGAGGTTGTGAATCTCCATCGACTGAGATGGTTGGGCCATGTGTTATGTATGCCTGAACACCGATTACCACGACGTGAAATGCTAACCGGTGTTGAAGACGGATGGAAGAAAATTGGGGGCGGCCAAACCAAAACGTGGCATCAGTGCTTGAAGTCACTAACTTCTAGTCTCAGCCATGTTGGCAGATACAGACTATTTGGTTGGGGTCCGCATGACTATCGTAACCAATGGTTGGAGACTCTGGATGATATGGCTCAGAATTGACCACAATGGCGTCGGTGTATACACTGTCTGTCTTCCTTTAAACTATGAGATTAAAACCGCTTCATATTCTTCTTTCTACGAACTAATTCTTTCTTCTTGTACTATGTCCATATATGCAATCTTCCTTTTGTATATTACTACCACTGAATTAACCACTTCTATGAATTCGGTGTTCATCTTGTTGTGTTAATGAGGTGTGGTAACTTTGATCGATGCATATGTGTGCCTCGCCCTACGTTGTAGCTGATTGGCTGACTCCACGAATCAGCACATTTGTTGACATGACACCCTATACACGTAAGTATATGGTAGTGGTAATAATATTAGTAATAATAATATCGGAATTAGAATGAAATTCCTATTTTTACTGAAATTGTGATAACGATGACACTGATTGAAAAATTGTAACAGAAACGGGGTCATAATTTGAAAAGAATCTTATTTATTTATAACAAAATTTAATGTATAAATGACGAGAGTAAATCTTAGCGTAATTGATGTAAGTTCATTATCTACAAATATAATGATATTTGTCTTCTAAAAATATTTTTAATCATAAACTCTTGACTGTAGATTACTGGATACCCAATACTTCCGTTTTATATCAAGTAAGAAATATTCAAAAGATATTAAGATTAAGATACTCTGATGAGAAAGATGTTATGAATAGCTTTTTGATAAACATCTGTTTACGGAATGGGTTCTTTTTGATGGAGTTTTGTTCTCTGAGCTGGATGGTTTGGTCGTGGAGCTTTCATCGTTCTTCTGAACGACATCATCAGCACAAACTTCAGATAGAAGTGAAGTGTTCGAATTTCGAATTTCACAGTTTGTTCTGTATACCTCGACGTTGTTTGGTTCTTACTGACCCTAAATTTGTCCCCGTTTACTTCTTTCTTTTGGTTGTGTCTCCCAATTAATTAAAAGCCAATTAGAAGTTATACATCAAGGATTGACATTAGTTAGACAACCATCAAAAACCGGAAAACATACTGAATAACTCTTTATTATAAGTATGAAACATTTCAGCAGTGCCCATACACTGCACAATCGATGATTGAACCCAGGACATTCAGGCCTTGTAGAGAGTACTTAACCGGAGTTCATGTGAGAAGCCCTGACCAGTTAACTGTAACCATACTGACCGTTGGTAGATTTTATCAATGTTAACGGATGTTGGCTCCTAAATATCGCCAAACAAATGAAATAGGAAATGTATTCCAGTGAATACCAATCAATTGGCCTAAAACGTTGGAAGCTTCCCACGTAACCTTAAACTCTAGGGTCTCATCACCGATGAATTCATGGATACTCGTTAGTAAGGACTTCCATACTAGCTCACAAAAGCTTTCCAGTGCTTCCTGGTTTCTATAACTATCTGAATTAGTTCAATTCATGACCTTAATGACAAAACATTACACAAAGTAACTTTGTCAGCATCAAATAGAAACGAAAAGTAAGAATAACATCTACGAAATGAAGACTATTCAATAAATGACAATCAAACTAATATCACAAACCTGAATAAGTGGGATCCAGTATAAACCAATATTGTAGATACTATAGAATAAAAATCCGATCACATTCAACACAGCAAAGTCGAAATTGAATCCAACCACACTAGAACAGAAAACAAAATAATTATTTATCCAATAATTTAACGAGATATTGCTTGAGGAAATCAAATCTTACAGCTTAATTTCATTGATTACAATACTTCCTGAATTGCATATAAAAAAATACATTACATTATATCCCACTAGAGAATTCACAGAGAGAGACGATTTACCGATAATTTAATAATCATTTCCAGTAACATAATAGGATTATAATACTAATTTGGTGTGCGCTGCTTATGTTTACAGATATAAATAGTATGTAGCAGTAATTGGAAGTGGAATGCCTGCCGGAGCAAGACTGAAGAGAAGAGAATAGAAGAATAAGCAGAAATCAATTGGAATAACAACAGATTTGGAAGAATCATGCAGTATGTAAAAGACAACTGGAGTAAGATATAGAAATAATGCACCTAATGTATAACTTTTTATTTCACAAAGGCACTGTGCAAATTTTTATTGAACAGTAAATTGGCTTTTCTCACCTGTGCTCTTCTTCATTATACAAGTACCCTGAAAGGATCAGTTTATTTAAAATACGTGCCTAGTAAATCATAGATCAGAAGTTCTTCAACGCTGAGTTTTAATTGAAATTTTCGGTTGTTCATTACAAAATTATCAGTTTGATAAATAAAATTGATGGAACAGAAATGAGTTGTATCTAAATTCTAAAGTATTCATGTGGTTTTTGTATTGAGGAAAGTGTTCCTTATCAGGTTTCGATGATCTTTGTTTGTATGTTCTAGTTAAGATATAAATGTTTTCACAAATTACTGTCAGATTTATGAAATTGTAATGTCTATGCGTTTGTTATTTGTCGTTTTGTATACTTTCGTTCTTTGGAAAGTGGTCCATCTTGAAAATGCAAGTGAAGTTTATTTTGAACCAAAGTCAGTTCATCTTCAGTCAGGTGGATTTAGAAAAATATACATAGGATTAAAGTAGGTTATTAATTTACTTCGCATGATGAGTTTTTATCATATACCTCATATCTGTTTGTCTCTCATGACATTTATGTGCTCAGCGAATTGAAGTTTTTAGAGGAAATATCCAGCTTTGACATAGTATTGTTCAGCTACAACAGGTTGCTTTCTAAACGGTATTCATGATTAATGTGACGTTAGATTGTGAACCGACAAATATGGTATACAATACATATCGGACTCACCAGCTTTTGCAGGAGAGCGCAGCCAAACTAGATGTTGTGGCCCTAGTTTTAATATCATAAGAAGACTTTACAAGTCATCATCCAATGTTTTTTATTCTTCATGACTATGATATCCCGTAGTGTCCGTGTTATTCTATAATTTTCTATTCGAAAATTTAGTGATAGATCATCTTTCAATCTTGAGGCTAAGCCTTGATAAATGTAATGATTCTGTTCTATCTGAATAAAATCCCAATGTGAATAAGGTAGTTTAGGTTAAATTTATATTCACTTAATAACATTCTGCTTATTGAACTATTATGAAATTAACTGAAATTAACCAGAATTTAAAAGAAACAAATGCCTATGCAGACGTATAATTTCCTGCGGATACATATCATATGATACTTTTACATTATCTATTTCACTGATCATGATGCAGTTTTTGAGGCACGTTATTCAGAAAAACGAAGTGTATAATCAACGTAATAAATTTTGCGCGAGTCTATTTACCTTCTTCTTATAGTGTTGAATGAGCTTAGATGAATATTTGGATTTGTATTTGTTACAAATGATTTACAGAGTATGGTTCATTCATGTGGATAAGTAGATTCTTTTAGGTTGCTGTAGTAGTAAATAAGTGACATACAAATTGTTAAATATAAGTTTTTTAGAAGTTACTACACAGGAATGCAATTTTCTAATGAATGTTCTTTTTCGATATATGCCCATTTTAAAACGGTAGTAAGTATTGATATTATCACCAAGGCTTGATTTGATAATTTCAAATAAATTTAGCATTAGTGTAGATTGTTCAGGAAAGAAATAATGATATATCTATTATATCCTAATGAGTATAAAACAAAAATTCTTTTAACGTTTTATGATGTGGTGTAGATCATTTATTTAGAGAATGAATTATTTTCATAGTCGAATTCATGAGTCGATCTAAGTTGGATGACCACTGAAAACCTAAAAATACTGGATGGCTGTTTTGTTCTTATATGCGCACTCCTCTGCAGTGCACATCCACAACCCCACAAGTGTGACTCAGACCCAGGACCTCCTGTCTTTCGCAAACGCCTAACCTCAAGATCACAGAGCCGGCATCTTACGGTATTAATGTCTAACTTCAATCGGTCCATGAAGTGTTGTGCAAACCTTCATCCATTGCCTGAAGTGGATAGTTGTCTCACACCCTACACGGATTAAACTCAACCGGTCACAACTTTTGACTAAAACTTCAGGAGTTACATCTTGAATCTAGTCACTAGTGACCACATGATTGTTATCAGTATAGGGATATTAATACCGTTGTATCCCGATCCACTGGACTTCAGATTAAGCGTTCGCTCGTGATCCCTAAGGTCCTGGGTTCGAGACCCTCTTGCGGGATCGTGGATGTACACTGCTGAAGAGTCCTATACTGGGGCAAAACGACCGTCCAGTGCTTTCAGTGGTAGTCTAACTTAGATCGACTCATAAATTTAACTATAAAAATACTACAATCTCCACAAATAAATTATTTCTAATTATTAATAATAATTATTTATGATTACAAATATGTAATAATGATAATTATGGTTATATGGGCTTCCTATTTAAGTGTAGACTGTATGGTTTTGCTTACAATCTGACTAATGCTTTGTCTAACTTCACTAGCAAACACAAGGATGACAAAGTGAACATTTTGTAAAAATTATAACCAAAATACTATTTTACCGTGCAACTGCCAGTCCTATTAATTTAATTAAGTAGATTTAAGAATAAAACTATTCACACTTTGAATGATTGTGGATTTTCCTGTTCAGTCAGCTAAAAGTTTCATAGTAAATAGTAACACTCAAAATCCATGCTACTCTCATAAAAAAACTGGCTACGTGATAACTCAATAGGAAAGAAATTGTTTAAATAGTAAAGTCCAAATATTCTTATGCATAATTCATACTTAGATGATCTGCTCACCGAAATTAAATATAACCATATGAAACCCATCAGTTACCTTTTTCGTCTACAGTTCAAAAAGAACTGAGGGTAGAATGAAACTGTCCAAGCGGCAAAATAAATCCAGCCAATCACAATTTGAAATGTATTTAACCAATGAAAATGCACCACAGTTACAGAAAAAATAGGTTTACCTGCGCTATAAGATAAAATCAAATGATTAGATAAAATATACATATAAACGCTTAAGTATTTGATACGTTTAATACCACAACTGTTAACTCTGTAATGACAAAAAGTAACTTTTCATCCTCATTTTAAACATTCTATATAGAGACATTTGTACTGACCACTTTATGCAAATTCGTAATTTTGCATATAACCCTAAAAGTCGTCGACTATGATTAGCTCGTTGCTATACTAGACTTTTACTTAATTATTTTTATTAGACAAAATCAGAGCCAGTATTCTTAAATTTTACAGTCACTTGGCCATTTTAATAAATATCGGTCAGTATAGTCTTATCTGATTCAATTTAATGAGGCATTTTCAAATCAAATGAGTGTGATACAAAACGATTATGTTAATAAATAAATAGTACTCTTTTTTCATTTGTTAACAACCGATTTGAATGTTACTTGTTGATAAATAAACTTAAATAAAAAGCTCTTCTACATATCAACCAACTGAATATAGCACTATTTATATGAAAATATTCAGTCGCTTTTGATTAATTTTATTTCAAGAAGTGACTACAGCGTTCATTTGAACACCACAGGCTTAATGAAAACGGTGGAAAATACTCAATTATTTTTTATGTATACCTTAAGAGTTTTTCTAAATGATCCCGTGTAAAATTGGAAAGTAACTTGTTTTAATGAAAATACGTAAACACAAACTGAGCATGCACCTACTTCACAATGTTTACGTTTGGAGCAGGCTTTATTCCCAAGTATATATAACCAGGTGTTTTCGCAAAAATGGTGAAATTCGAAGGTTCCGATTGCATCTTTCTTATGGTTACGTTATTAACGGGCCGAATAACAGAATGATTTGGTTCTTTTAGTGAAATTACAGAGCCATTTCGGTCCCAATATTGAAACTCAAGAAAAATATCATGTTCTGCTGTACCCCTGAACATTGTTTACGAAAAATAAAAAAATGCTGATAATAACAAACGGAAATAATTAAAATTATCAAATAGCAAAAATCAGCATTTCATTAAATAGTTCAAAAACAAGTATTATTTATCTGACTAGTCGGTTATCACGTCAATATTCACTTTGCACTTTACTAACTGATAATTAGACAGTAAATGATGTCATACGTTAAAGTCGTCAGTCGTTAGTCGTACATTAAGCTCGCTTCTATACGTTAAACTAGTTCCTACTCAAGTCACAGTTATAAAAAGAGCAGAAAGTCTAGTTTTGTATGAAAGCCATTTAAGTAAAACCTAACACCTGACCAAACTCATTCACTTCTACACTGAACTTAAATGTACTTTCTTATAACACTGCAAGTACGTAAGCCTTAAATTGTAATGATTTATTTGATCGAACTGGCTAATTAATACAAGGCAGTAAAGTTCCATGTACATCTAAACGCACTATCCGAAGCTAAACCATTTCTATATAAAACAATCTGGCACCACTTAAATTCTGAAAACAAAGCCTTTTGCAGCTAATGATGTTGTTAAATTATAACAATGTTTTAAAAGCAAAATTTTATGTTGATTATTGCTAAAGCCAGTTTTATTCATGAACGTTTTGCAAAAGTTTGCTTTATTACCAAGTTGAAATAAAAATTCGAAAATTCAGCAACACTGTCTTATGATGACCGAGTTAATTTGCAGTCATTGCTCAAATACTAGTGAAGTATAGAATGTTAGTCCATACAAAACCTTTTTCATTTGTCTAAACTACCATATTCACATTGGGATTTTATTCAGATAGAACAGAATCATTACATTTATCAAGGCTTAGCCTCAAGATTGAAAGATGATCTATCACTAAATTTTCGAATAGAAAATTATAGAATAACACGGACACTACGGGATATCATAGTCATGAAGAATAAAAAACATTGGATGATGACTTGTAAAGTCTTCTTATGATATTAAAACTAGGGCCACAACATCTAGTTTGGCTGCGCTCTCCTGCAAAAGCTGGTGAGTCCGATATGTATTGTATACCATATTTGTCGGTTCACAATCTAACGTCACATTAATCATGAATACCGTTTAGAAAGCAACCTGTTGTAGCTGAACAATACTATGTCAAAGCTGGATATTTCCTCTAAAAACTTCAATTCGCTGAGCACATAAATTTCATGAGAGACAAACAGATATGAGGTATATGATAAAAACTCATCATGCGAAGTAAATTAATAACCTACTTTAATCCTATGTATATTTTTCTAAATCCACCTGACTGAAGATGAACTGACTTTGGTTCAAAATAAACTTCACTTGCATTTTCAAGATGGACCACTTTCCAAAGAACGAAAGTATACAAAACGACAAATAACAAACGCATAGACATTACAATTTCATAAATCTGACAGTAATTTGTGAAAACATTTATATCTTAACTAGAACATACAAACAAAGATCATCGAAACCTGATAAGGAACACTTTCCTCAATACAAAAACCACATGAATACTTTAGAATTTAGATACAACTCATTTCTGTTCCATCGTTTTTATTTGTCAAACTGGTGATTTCTCGGAACAAAGTTAATAACATCGCGCAAAAATACTTACCACTATATGGAGCTGCATGCTTTAACAACTCCGTAGGACAATATACAGAGTATCAGATAACTGGATATAATCTTGTAGATGTTTCGTTTTGTCTTCCTAACTTGTCGTTCTTAAGTCCCGAAAGTAATTTTACGTCATACCTGCAGTCACTATCGCATATTGGTTTGTTTGAATTCCTGAGAATGCCATTCGGATTGCAGACACATTGCGCACACACCTCAATGTTTTACGAATGAGGTCACTAAGGCCTAGATTTTGCATTCCTGCATGTTGACTATATAATGATAGCTAGCAGTTCACTCTACGGCCACATGGATTACCTACATCAAGGATTCGATATTTGTTATAGTTATCAATACACCCAAATGCTTTTGTGCGTCGAGAGCTTGAACATTTTTGGGCCACCTGACCAAAAAATATGTAATCAGACCATTAGATAAAAAAATTTTAGCCATTGAAATTTACCCAGAACCAGATTAACTGAATAAACTTCGACATTTCTTCGCGATGATTAATTTTTATCGCCGTTTTACTCTACACACAGACTTTAATGGAAGTGTTAAAAAGTAAAGTCGAAAAGTTCACCTTATCTTTCAGAGCTAAAGATGCAATTTACGTTGCTAAAATGGCAACTACTCCTACAACCATACTGACCTACCTAAGACCTGACCCGAAGGCAACACTAATTTTATGTGCTGACGCGTCTCAGAGGGTGGTAGGTACAGCAGTATAACAATAAATAAATAATGAAATTAAAGCGTGCCCTTTATTTTTAAAGGAACTGGAACCAATTCAAGCGCGATACAGCACTTTCAGTAGAGAATTATCGGCTATTTACTTAGCAGTTAAACATTTTTAACATTTACTTCAAGGCAGACATTTCGTGATACTCACCAATCACACACCTTTGACTTATACATTTATTATGAAAAGCGAACTTTATTCCCCCAGAGAAATGAGAAAATTACATAACGTTTTCCAGTTATCGACTACATACAGTTCATAAAAACTGAATCGAATATTATGGCAAATAGGCTATCACTTCTCATTACTGGTGCTATTCGCCCCACCAGTGAAACAGAATTAATGAACATTGCGAGCTTACAGGCTGATGATTCTGATCTCTTTGCGTGTAAACAGAATTCAATTCTAGGGGTAAACAGTGTTCCAATACCACATTCCGATTTTACTGAAAGTTCTGATAATGTAGCAGTATTGGTTCCTAACCACACTATCTTTAATGCTGAGCAATAATTGCTGAGAAAATTTGCATTCAACATATAACACCTAAAGAAGGTCAGTATGTTGGATTTGAGAAAGCTTGTTCGGTATTGGACTGCTCAACCCTGCAGGCGTGATCATTCAGTGTAACTAATCCTTATTCATATCAGTCATATTATTCTATCCCTAGACCAAATGTATCCTTCAGAAGTGCTAAACATTATAATGTTGATTGTCACGATACAATGAGCCAGTATAAACAATGATGAGACTTCCAAGTAAGATCTTATAGACTGGGAAGACACATCATGAAAAATCTACAATTTTGGGATTAGGTCCATTGTTCTAGTACCAAAGATAAATGTACTAAAACTGCCCTAGACCATAATTTCATAATACTCCGACAGGAAAACACATTTTTTGTGTCAGTAGTGTACAGGAAGAGCGTTCTTGATCGTCTTCACCCACTATCTCATTCAGGAGTCCGTTCTCTTAAGAAACTGGCCTCAGAAAGATTTGTTTGGCCGAAAATTAACCCGGATATAAAGCAGTGAACCAGAAACTGCTTTCAATATCGGTGCAGCGAAATTCCTAAGTCAATAATTACATCACCGCCAATATTCAGTATACCCCATCCTCGTTTTCAGCATATTCATTTCGATTTAGTTGGTTCTTTGGTTTCATATGACGGTCTTACTTACATCTTTACTGTAGAAGACTGTTTTGTCAGGCGGCCAATGGATGCCCGGTAAAAGACATCTCAACAGAAAATATTGCTTCCGTATCCCTAGAGAGATATACCTTCTACGGTTACTTTCGTCAGAGGTTTACAACTCAATCGAACCTCTCTAGTGAATTTACACTCGTTTTCCACACCCATCACCTCAATACAACAGCATGTCATTTAGCAGACAATGGAGTAGTCGAACGATTCCACGGAAAACTGAAAAGCCCGCTGATGGCACAGCCTGGTGTAACTAGATGGAGGAAATACATACTTCTGAATTCGCTGAGCAAACTCTCTACTATCTAAGAAGTCTTTCAGTGTTTACTAGCAACCGATGGTGCTAATGTCACAGCTTCGCAAATTTAGTTCCTAATTCTATTACTTTACTCGTCTTAAAAACGATTCGTAAAGGGAGACAGTTACACATGTAGAATTTTGGTATACTTCGTTATTATTACTGCTCTAATAATAGACATGTGACTGCCTAATCTATAGGATCTTACGTGGAAGTCACATCATTGTCTACACTGACTTATCATAAAAATCACCAGTATATGATGGGGAAGACAGTTAGATCAGAGATAGAACAATATTTTTAATAATAATAAAGGAGATAAGTTACACAAAAATGACTACGGCTGCAGAGCTGAGTCATGCCATCTGATTGATTGAATTATTGTTCTCGCGTTCTCTATAGTTAACCTCCTCTTTGTCTTGATTGTTGAATAAAAGACTTTTCGGTTATTATATGCTTGGCTTCAAAGGTTGCGTGGTTAAGGTCCAATGCCACTACACTACTCTCCCACCAGAATCAACATGACGTTGATTTGCCATCGAATTGAGTGGGATTGTCGCGTGTTGAAGGTTACCAAAAGAATAACAAGAACCGTCCGGGTATAGATAAGCTGAAAAGTGAATCAGAAAAAGGAGGCAGCAACTGGTAGAGAAATGCATATAGTAATTTCAAAATGTTTGGTTTTATCCTTAGCACGCGGAAACTAGAAATTCACGTCATTATTTAGGATTTGAGCAAAGTGGAATTATAATGATTAAGAATGATTTCCTGTTATTTTAATAAGTCTCATTAAAATGCATAGTTAAACACTTGGTTAATGGCTCAAGTTGTAGGCGGTATAAGTAATTTGTGCCAAGAAATTGTAGAATGATCAGTGTTATAGAAGTGTTGATATTGGTATTATTTTTAGTATTGATTAGATAGTCAGTTAACGTTCATATTCGTATGATATCCGCACTAGTTGATTTTTATTTGCATCTGCATTAGTAGACCGACTGAGAAAACAAAAGTATAACCATGGAGATGAAAAATTCCAACTAGTGTTTCAGTTAGTTTTTTAGGTTTGATACGGTTTATTTCGTTACTCGGAGATTTTCTCGATATCATTATTACTTAACCGTGATAGAACTTAGTAATGATACTTATACATATGAATGGTTTTCAAAGATTCTTTTAAGTAAAAATAGTGGTAATTTTGTGCATTTTGGACGGATAGCTAAAAGCAATTCGTTAAACATGAGTGTATTCGTGAGTCAGATGCTCTAGACTCAATGTTATTTGTATTCATATCTACCGGCTGATGTAGCATACAAGTTAGTTGCAAGTAACGAGTTTCGCATAAGTAAGAAAACAACTTGTTCGAAATAGAGTGATTAAAAATTGTTGAAATCGACAAAGCCCATGTGCCACAAACATGGGTGATGTAGTGTTGCACGATGCCTCCGGCTAAATAAATCTTTACGGTGAGTGATTCTCATATGATTATCAGAAAGAACATAAGTGGTAACCGAGGGGAGCACAACTCAGAACTTATGTATACGATAATGGCTTGGACCTTAGTCAGTGATGAGGTAAATGCGACAGTGTTTTCAGTTTGCAGGAGACTTGCTTAAGTGCTTATACTGATGATTCGCATGCATGATTATGTTGCCAAACCTCAAATTAGACTGACAGTGGTTTAAGATACTGAATGAGCAACCGATAGAGGAATATTCTGTAATCATCTGTAATGGATGAAGACAACGAGAAAACAACACTGAAAAAAGAGTCATTGTTAGTGTTTAGAGCTTGAAGTTCTGGGTTCGAGTCTCACTGTGAACATCAGCAACGGTATTTAGGTATATCCATACAACGAGTCGCAAATAGGACAAAAACGGGACTCATCGACGTTTCTTAAATAACTAAATAATTTATAAATTAATCACTAACCTGGTCGAAATAATATAATTTTGTTAAACTCTTCATATTTCCATTACACGACATTTATATATACAACTTCAATTCTTCTCAATAACTTTTATTTTATACGTTGGGTAAGCATAGTACTGATGAAAATCTTGTTTATAATTCTTATACCCTAAGTTTAAGTGTCTTCAGACGTTTAAAAGTTAACTGATTAGAAATTAATGGTTTTAATACGTAAATCTCTAAGTGAATTTGGATGAAGTAGTCACGTCATCACTGACAAAAATAAACATTGACCACACTAATTAGTATTTTTAAATGAACATCTCTTACTAGAGTTCTAAAAATATGATCTGTTATGCTAACTTTCTAATATTTATTATTCCAAATACTTATTATCCCTTATTCAGAATATGACAATGTTGAGATAAGTTTTCTTTACTTGTTACGCACAAACCTTTACCATGGTTCAATTCAATGCAATTAGCCAGTTACAATATGAATAAATTTGCATAATATACGTAGTAATAATAATAGGAGACTTATTTCTGATCACATATACATATGCAGATACATATATATCCCTGCATTCCTGAAATGGTTCATGCAGTTTAACAAACATATTCAGACGATTGGTCAATCCAATAAATTGTTTG